CCCCGCGGCCCGACCCTTCCTCTCCTCCCCGGTGCCCGCCGCCGGTGCCCGCCGCCCCGCCCCGCCCCGTGCCGTCCTACCGGCGCCGCTCGACCGCGCTGCGCTGACACCGCCGCGGGATCCGCCCAGCCGCCCGCGCGCCCCCGCACTTCCGGGACACGCCCGTCACTTCCCGTTATACCAGCCTCTCGCCTCACTTCCGGCCACAGCCCGACGCGTTGATTGGCCGGCGGGGATTTGCGCGCGATGGCGGGGCCGACCATAGAGTTGGGGCGGAGGAGCAGAGTGCCGCAGGGCGGGGCGGGCCCTGGGAAGGCGCGCGGGCCCGAGAGGGCGGGGCCTGCGCGCATGGGGCGGGGCGCGGGAAGGCGGCATCCACAGCTCTAGACACGGTTCTAGTTTATTGCGGCGAAGGTGAAAAAGCCACCTCGGCCCAACAGCAACAGTAAAATTTATCCCAAAAATAACTCGGTACAAAACGGGTCTGCTCGGAATTAAAAAAAACCTTTACAGGAGTTTAAAACCTATCCCAGAACGAAAATAAAACAAATCCCATCCCCAGGCGGCGGCCGCAGCCCCGCCAAGAGCCAGGAGCCACAGCCACGTCCTCCCTGCGCCCGCCGCTTTAGCTGGTGTCCATCTGGAAGAGAGGAGATGAGAGCAGCCGTCACCGCGGGGTGCAACGCAGCTCTCACACCCCTGCCGGCCCTGGAGCTCCCAGCGCTGCTGCACAAGGACACGGCAGCGCCAGGCAGCTCCAGGAAGGGCACAAGTGGGAGCTGCTGCACTGCTCCTCCCCCTCTGAGCCACCCTCTGCAATTCCACTCATCCCACTCTGCACTCTCACCGGGACTTCACCCATTCCCACACCACACACACGACCCCAGTTCTCTGTTGAGATTTTAATCCACCCACAGGGCAGAGACTCCCGGTTTTGCCTTTTGCTTTTCCCTTTTCACAGCCCATTATCCCTGGGGGTTTTGTTTGCAGCTACTACTCACTGCAGCTGTCCTGCAAAGAGCTTCCCAGCTGCCAGCAACAGCAGCTGCCCAAGTGCTGTGGAGAGCAGAGCCAAACACTGCACCGAGGTGCTGCCTGGCTTTAGAGGGAGCTGGTGTTAGTCCCAGGACCTGGAAAATGTTCTCTGCCCAGAGAAGCTGTGGCTGCAATATCCCTGGCAGTGTTCAAGGCCAGGCTGGATGGGGCTTGGAGCAACCTGCTCTAGAGGAAGGTATCCCTGCCCATGGCAGGGGGTTGAAACTGGATAAGCTGTAATGTCACTTCCAACACAAACTAGGCTGGGATTCTATGAAAAACCTCTTCCTGCCAACTCTGGGCTCTCACATTTCCCAGTAGGAGATGCTGTGGGAAGCACTTACCCTGGCATTGTAAGCATCCAGCTGTGCATCTAGTTCCTCTGCGGAGAGCTGCTGTTTGGAAGTTCTTCCAGCTCCTCTGCCTCTCCCTCTGTTTCCACCACGAGTGCCTCGCCTGCTGCCGCCACCACCAAATCCCGAACCCCCGCGGTTCCTGGTCATGCCACCTCTATTTACACTGCCAGTTTTCAAAAGCAGCTGATTTAGTGACTGGTGGTTAACCCACAGAGATTCCACAGGAGAGGGCCCATGCAGGCTCCTGCCCTGCACTGGGTGCTCAACACTCACCTCTGTGCTGGTCTTCTCTGTGTGTCAATCTGTGACGTGACCAGCTGGATGTTCATGGGGCGCCCTGCAGAAACAGCAGCCCAGGCACTAGGTATGAGCAGGATGTGGGGTACAGGAGGGATGCAGGAGGCGTGCAGGAGGGATGCAGGTGCTGGCAGGCACCATGGCTACGCACTCACCGTCCAAGGGGACACCATTGTACTGCTTCATCGCCTTCAGCGCATCCGCCTTCCTCTCGAAATGCACGTCCGCTGTTCCGAGACTGCGGCCAGACCTGTCATAGTGCACAGCTGCCTTTTTCAAGGTTCCAAACTCTGCAAAGAGCTCCTGAGAAAAAGAGGAAGAGCAGAGACATTTGTCAGTGCCACAAACACTGTGCAGCCCAGGGTGGTGCCGGCCCATCCCTACACACACCACCAGAGGTGCCTTTCAGATCATTATGGACAACTCAGACAAAGCACCAGTGAAAGAGGGAGCACAAGCCCAGCAGGGAGGTGCCACAGGTGGCAAAGCCAAGAGAGACTTGAAGTTCACAATGTGTGAGGCACACGTTCACAGCAGCAGAGCAGGCTCAAGGGATGCTGCCTTTTTGAGGCTGACTCAAAAAGTGACTAATAAAAATAATCCAGACCCGTGTCACAGAGCAAGAACAGCCTATGAACACATACAGAGATGGCCGCAGTTTCACTGTGCTGAAGTTCTTCCCCCCTCCCCCATAATCTTTACCAGATCAGGTGCAATTTAGAAGTACAGCCCATAGGAATATACCCCCAAACTTGAGACAAAGAACATCCTCTACTGAACTAAGTCTCATTTTATAAGATCATGCAGTGACAGAATAAGGGGAATGGTTTTAAACTGACAGAAGGGAGATTTAGATGAGCTCTTAGGCAGAAGCTCTTCCCTGTGAGGGTGCTGAGGCGCTGGCACAGAGTGTCAGAGAAGTTGTGGCTGCCCCATCCCTGGCAGTGTTCAAGGCCAGGTTGGACACAGGGGCTTGGAACAACCTGCTCTAGTGGAAGGTGTCCCTGCCCATGGCAGGGGGTTGGAACTGAATGAGCTTTAAGGTCTCTTCCAACGCAAACCAGTCTGTACTTCTATGTCATTTGCTGTCCCAAATGATGGAAATGAAAAGGCAGCAATGGAGCCACCGATTTTGTTTCGCAGGTGCTACATTAAGATGTCAACAGGACATGTCACCTTCGCAAGGTACTGCTGCATCCCATGCCTCAAAAGCTCAGTATCTGCCCCGTTACTGCCCAGACAGAGTGGTCACCTCCTGCGGGACCCATTGTGGAGCCACCACCACAGCACCACACGTCCTTCACCTCCCCAGCACACCATGCTCAGCAGGACTGCGGGCCTACTCCTCCCTGTGCTCATGCACCAGAGGTGAACGTTTCCCAGCACTTGTCAGCAGCTTCCCAGAGCCAGGCTCAGACTGCCCTGCGCAGCTCCGCACATCCAAGGCTCCTTCCAGCCACTCCTACCTGCTGTACACCTGCTGAACCATGTTACTGACGTGACTAACACAGGAACAAAGAAAGCCATCATACACCTGAGGCAGTGCTCCATTACAGGATGAGTAACAACAAATAGGTGCAAAGCCATTAAATCAATTTTACTGCTAAATAACCCCAAGTGGAAATTCATCCACACACCAGCCAGAGCCAGCGGCAGAAAAAGTGAATCTCAACGGCTGCAGGAAGCACAGGAGCTGGTCACACTGAGGTGACTTCACAGAGCAACACACTTATAGAAACCAAATCTGCACTTACAGGGGTAAAGGGCAGGTTTTAAAGTGCATCACCCAGTAATGAGGTGACCTCAAAAAGCTCCCTTCTGATCCCGCAGGCACAGCCAGAGTGGCACACGGAGCAACCGAATGAATTAACCAACAACAAAGGCAGCTGCCTGTAGCAGTTGCTTGCTTTCCCTGGTCAGGATGTGAGGACCAGAAACCATTCCAAAAGAAAGCACTTCACAGCACGATGGAGCCAATACAGCCATACAGCCCCGGTATTTGTGGGTGTTGCTGGTGCCGGTGCCCTCCCCACCGGGGGAGCCCCATGCCATGGTATGGAGACAAAGCACTGCAACATCCAACCAGGAGAACCCAGCAGGTTCTTACCCAAAGCACGGCTGAAACAAGGGACACGAGCACAGCAGGTCACTTGGCTAGAAAATAACACAGTGGGTACCACAGGTACCCCCTCACAGATAACTCCTCCCAGGTACACTCATGGAACACCTCAACATTCAGCAGAGCTACACACCCAGGACCTGTACGCACAGCACAGTTCCGGCATCACTGCAACTACACAGACCTCGAGTTTGAGCTGTTTATAGTCAATTCTCCCATTGTGGCTGGATCCAGCAAAAGAGCAGCACCTTCCCCCCTGCACCATGGCAGAGACCCTCCAACACCATGAGTGCCCTGCAGGCAACAGCGGCTGTTCCCAGCTACAGCCCCTCAGGATCACCAGAGCCGCTGCAGGAGGGAAGCTCGTGGCACAAACCTCACCACTGATGCAGACTTAACTCACCCGGGGGTCTTCTGTCCGCGCAGGGAGGGAGCAGGACCTGCGGCGCTCCCGCGGGTGGCTGGTGTGCCCTACCCCGACGCTATGAATGAAACCCCCCATGAACACCCCCCGCGGGGCCGCTCCCGAGCCCCCACCTGGATGTCTGCATCCGAGACGCCGAAGTCCAGGTTCGAGACGAGCAGCTTCCCGCCGGTCTCCACGCCGGCCCCCGCCCCGAAGCCGCTGTCGAACAGGTCGTGCTGCCACTTCTCGGGGAGCTGCTTCGGCTGCAACGAGACCGGTACCTCGCTGACCGGCGCCAGGGCACCGCAGAGCGCAGGCCCCCGCCGGCCCCGCTGTCCGCCCCGCAGGGAGCGGACAAAGGGCCGTCCGCCCGCCCCATCCCGCCTCGCCGAAGGCCCAGCCCGGCTCCTTGTAACGCGCCGCCGCCGAGCCCCGCAGGCAGCCGCGCTCCCGCCCGCCGCCGCGTCCCATACCCGACTGTAGGGCGCGGGCCGGTTCCTGCCGCCGCCCCGGGCCATCACCGGCCTGTTCCGCACGGGGCCGCCGCCTCCCGCTCGCACGGCTCCCACGCCGCCCCGGCCGGGCCCACCCCCGCGGGTGGCGCCGCCCCGGCCTCGGCCGCCACGACCGCCGCCCCGGCCGGCCCCGCGCTGGCTGCGGTTGAGCTTAATGATATCGTCCAGCGACATGTCCATCTTGTCGGCCATGATGGCGGCTCCGCTCCGGGGCCTGCACTTCCGGCCGCGCTGCGCCGCCGCCGGAAGCGGAAAAGGTGGTGTTTGAGCGGCGGAGGCGCGGTCCTGGCGGCGGCGATGCGGGTGCGAGTGCGGAGCTGGCACGGGGTCGCGTCCTGGCTGTGGGTGGCGAACGACGAGAACTGCGGTATCTGCCGGATGGCGTTCAACGGCTGCTGCCCCGACTGTGAGTGCGCGGCCCGGGGGGTGGGGGGGCCGGGCCTCGCCGTACAGCGCTGACGCGCTCTCCGCGCCGCAGGCAAGGTGCCCGGGGACGACTGCCCGCTGGTGTGGGGACAGTGCTCGCACTGCTTCCACATGCACTGCATCCTCAAGTGGCTCAACTCGCAGCAGGTCCAGCAGCACTGCCCCATGTGCCGCCAGGAGTGGAAGTTCAAGGAGTGACGGTGGCGCCGGTACACCGAGGGGGGCCGTTCCCCGCCCCGGGCCGCGCTCTGCCCTCAATAAACGTGCGGCTGCTTCACTCCTCTCCGGTGTCCGGTGTCCTTCCGGGGATGGGAAGGGGGGAAACGACTGCGCCGCGGAACCCGCCTGCGGGTGGAGAAGCCGCTCTGCTGGGGTCGGGAAGGCCGGGCCCCGCCGCTGCTCGGTTGTTACTGCCGGAACACCCACCCAGTGCAAATGCTGTAGCCTCATTGTCCGGAAAGCCCAGCACAGCCAGGGCCGCTCGCACGGTTTGGTTCCATTTCTAGTGAATTCAGCAAAAAAACTCCCGCAGAGCTGTCCCTGTGCCGGGGCAACCCCATCATGCCCAGCACCCGGACTGTGCTGCCCTAGGGCAAAGAGCTGGGGCTGCTGCAGCGGCCTCGCCCCGGCTCCCAGCACAGCTCCAGAAAAAGCCACTGTAGTAGGGATGCTCCAGCCCAGGACCTGGCCCCTTTCTGCGACCCCACCTGTGATACCAACACAGAACTCTAATGTTTTATTAATGATCAGCAAAAGTTTACACCGGAGAGGACAACAGAACTGGCATGGAAGGACGGTGGGGCCCAGGGCACCCGCTGCTGCACCCTGGAATGTAAGAGGCAGGAAGGGGCTCAGCACCCATCCTCCTCAGGCCCTGCACCGCTGTGCAGGGACTCACATGCTGCATGTTACAAGCAGCCCTGGGTTCAGCCGAAATTCCAGTCCCTCCCGTTGGGAAGCCCTTGGGCACAAGGTGGACTCCAGGCTCTGAGCAGGTCTGTACAGCACCAGGTCTTGGAGGAAGCCCCTAGGGGTGCCTGTGCCCCTGCCCCTTGCGCCGCTGCCTCTTCCTGGGACCTCGGGCACAGCAGATCCAGCTGGAGCTGCAGCACCTCTGGGGCTGGTGTCTGTGCAGGGGCCGTCCCCGGGGTGACTGTTCCCACCAGCCTGTCCCCACCACCACCCCCAGGCTGCTCAGGAGCACAGGCTCCAGCCAGACATGGGGCCTGGGCAGCTGCTCCATTTCCCTCCTACTAAAAGCCAGAACTGGCAGCAGTAAAAGCACATCAAGGGGTTAAAACATGGGTTAGAATTAAAACCTTTAAAACTTTTTTTTTTCTCTGTCGTATCTCCCCTGGGAAGGGGCTGATGGAGGAGAAACCAGGCGGCAGCAGCAAGTTCCGGCCTTACTGGCTGCAGTTACTGGAGGAGGAGCTAGGCCAGGAGAGGGCAGACAGCACACCCTGCGCACCAGCAGCGAGGTCCCTGTCCAGGGGTCCCCTCCAAGAGCTTGTCTGCTCTCAAGAGGTGAGGTTGCGGTGATCTGTGACCCACACACCAGCTCTCTGCTGGCCTAGTGCTTCTCCTCTTCCAGTCTCCTCATGGCCTCCAGCACAGCCAGCTCTTTTGCTTCCTTCTTCTGGTTCCTAGCTTCAAACTCCAGCCTGCATCAATCACAAAATGCCATAAGATTCTCATCCATCCCTATCTCACCTGGAGCAGGGGAGCACCATAGCTCCTGCTACTCTGCTCCAAGAGTGCTTCAGAAACCACCAGTAACCTCCCAACTGCTTTCAAGAGCCCAGACCTTCCCACAGCTGTTCCCACCACTTCACAGGCTCCCACACTGGGAAAACACCACTTGTTTCTGCCCCAGCAGCAGACACTCCTGCTCCATGCTTGGCCTGTCCTGGAACAGACCATTTAATAATACCAAAACCGAATTTACCACTGACTGAGCCAAGGTTACTGAAGGCAAAGGGCTCAGGCCTAAAAAAGCAAAGCTCTGAAAGAAGCAACATGCTCATTCCCCCTGGGAATAGAGCAAGGGAATTTTATCATTGATAGAGAAAGACCAGTAAAACACAGTGACACACACTGACACAGCAGAGTTCAGCTGTTCCTTTCCCTCTGCAGTCCAGTACATCCACATCTAAGCAGCCTCCCCAAGCTATGGCAGATGAAGGACCAGTTACTGACCCTGTGCCTTTAGGTAACCACTCCTCTCCCTGTCTGATCCCATTCATTAGTCCTCACGCAAGCTGGTCAGTACAGTATGTGACAGAAATGGGAGATAAAGAAAACCAACCTGTTCTTGATGATCCTCTGCACAATGAGATCTGTGGTGAGGTTGCTGCCACTGTCCACAAGCTGGAAAATGCCACGTCTCTTCGGTTCCTGTGGACAAACAGCAGACTGAGCTGGGGAGACACACAGGCCCTGGGGGTTACAGCTCAGCAGGGGATGTTGAGCGGAAGCCGTGGCAGGTCCTAGGGCACCCAGCCAGCCACAACACAAAATGATTCCTAGGAGGCAGGATAAATACTTGCTGAAAGCAAAGCTTTATGTCTGTGGGAGCTGCCCAGGACTGGCATAGAGCAAAGGCTACAGGATTTCTCACTCTGCCATGAAGGCACCAGAAACAGGCAAACCAAAGAGAGAGGGCAAGAACAGAGCTGTTTACACCTTTGCTCCAAGCAGCCACCCTCAAGGGTGGATGAAAACCAGGCTCACCTGCACTGCACTCACTTGGGAGCATCCTCTGCAGTACAAGTTCCCAGCTCGGGAACACGAAGCCATGCTGCATCTATCCAGTGCTGACAAAGCAGCACAGCCAACAGCAGCTGGTGCCTTACCTCGTACGGGTCAGAACCATCCTTGTCCGGCACCACCTCCGTCATCCCATGACACACAAGTGTTACCTGGAGAAGGATACAAATTGTTGACAAGACCCAAAAAATGCACAGGGACCTTCCCTGCCACTGCAACTGCTGCAGCACAGCCTGGACACCAGCAAAGTCACCCCTCCTGTACTGGCCCTGCTGGTGCATCTGGCGCTGCCAGTAACCCTGCTGAGCTGGACCTTCTCTCCTCTGCACCCCTGTGTTTTACTGCACCACTTCAGTTCCCCAAGCACATCACACCCAACACCTTCACATCCACCTATAAGCAAAGACTCACCCTGAAGTGATCCAGCAGGTCAGCAGTGACAGCATAGGGGGCTCCAATCACCACTTCTGAGACATACTAGAGGAAAAGCAAGTAAAGAGTCCAGATTTGGGAAAAACAAACACACCCACCCCAAAACCACAAACCAGCACCCCCAAACCAGGGGTCAGCCTGCTTCCTGAACACCCTTAAGCAGGTCAGCATCTTTTAGTTCCACTGCAAAATATGCTTTCTGGTAACGTATATACAGCAAATCTAGAAGTCTGTAGCTCAGGGAACACGCTTCTGGGCCTCCCCATATTTCTTTCCCAGGAATTTCCTTCCCTGCTGCCTTTGCTGCCCAGAGGTGGGGGAGTTCAACAGCTCAGGTTAGCCAGGACAACAGCGGAGCCCAGGGACCTCTCCTGAGAGCACGTCAGCTCCTCTGGCAGCCTGAGGTGACCCGTCTCTGCTTCCCCAGCACACGCTAAAGAACCTGTGTGAGGTTGTTGGCTACAGGAGACCACCACCAAGCTCCGGGCAAGTTCTGAAATGGTGCAGAGACACTGCCAAGAGGCACTTACCCTGCAGGCCAACACGCTGAGTGTTCTCTCATGGATGTTCATGATGGGATAGTTCTTCCCTTTGTAGCGATTTACTTCCTAAACAAAGCACCAGGCACAGTTAAAGAGAGACAGAGCAACCCCTTTCCCTCTTGCTTTCTCCCAACATGAAAACCCTGTTGTGGCAAACACATCCCATTCCCAGCTTCCTGAGCACAGAAAGAACAGGGGCCAAGACGCTCTGTCTTTGGACAACATTATACACTGACCTGATCAAAGTGCAGCCCAGCGATGATGTAGGGTTTCTCTGCCAGCTGGTGAACCTTCTCCAGGAAATCTACGTGCCCAATATCTGTAGAACACTTTAAGGAACTGAAACTAACACAGAAAATAGGGAAAGGGAGACAGGAACAGATGCACTGAAAAACCACAGTGGGAGTCTTATGGATTTGATTTCTGCATTATTCGTTGCCCATATCCAGTCGCCTCCTTCCTCCACAGGTCCTGGGCAAAAACCAGACATCACCAGCTCCACCTCGCATGGCCTCAACTTTGCCTCTGTCCAGAAGTTCTACCTGACTTGGCTGTTCTGGCTCAGTGCCTCTGAGACTGCTCCAAGGTGGCCCGGGCAGTTGCTTGGGCCGTGACGCCAGCCCTCAGAGGGGACTGGAGTGTGATCGCCAGAGCAGGGAGAGCATCCGCCTGTCTCCCTGGCACCCTCCAACAGCCACAAACCTCTCCAGAGAGCACCTACAGCTCCGTTCCAAGTGTCCTGCAACTCAGGCAGTGAGAATCCTGCCTGCCCCCCACTTGCACAGCTACAGAGAGAGAAAGAAAGGAAAAAAGAAAAAAGAGACAAATATCCTGGTCTGGCACCTCAGAACATGAGAACATTAAACTGGAAGACAAGTGCTGCTTTCCTGACAAAACAAAGTCCAGGATACGGAACAGGTCAAAGGCTCCAGCCACATAGATGATGGTGTCTCCGGGCTGTGGTTCCTTCCCTGATGCAAACTGGATGATCTTCTGAGATGTCTGCAGGAACTGCGAGACACCTGTCCAAGGACTGTGACCCTTTGGTCCCTGGAAAAACACACCCCATACACATCTGCTTTCCAGGCTCCAGGAGGGGTTTGGACAACACAGACGCAGCCACAGGCAATGTGCAAGTATCACAGCTCTCAGCAGCTCAGACTTCCCACGCTCCTGGCACCAAAGAGTTCAGCAATCTCAAAGGCCGTTTTTGCTCTGTCAAACACGGCGCAAATCGTCCCCGACAGCCAGCTCAGGAGATGCCAAGAAGAAAGCTCAAGAAGGAGGAAAGCAACAGGGCAGGTTTGGATTGCCAGGAGAGACAAGGCTCAGTAACACACAACCTGCCCTCGCTCCTCTCCAGCCTCCAGCAGCCTCCCCCTGGCTCCAGCAGGAGCCAATACCAGCGCCATGAAACCAAGGATGGAGTTTTAGCCCCCCACACATCAGATCTGGGAACAGACACCGGGTCACCCCCTCGGGCACCTGCCTGACCCCTAAAGCTTGGGCTCTACGAGACTGGCAAGAACAAAGACAACCCCGGCGAGAGTGGGCAAGCCAGGCGCACGCAGCATGCAAAGGGGCTCAGCTGCGGGGCCATGCAGGAACCTGGTGATCCAAGCACCAGGGAACAACCATGCTGCAGCGACGGGCCCCTCACACCGCTCAAACATCCCAGTGTGGTGGGGAACAGAGAGGATAACTCAGCCCAACCAGCAAACCCCCTGCGAGTAAGAGCTTTAAGTACCAGCGCTTGTTAACCAGGCAAGTGCAACACCCAGGGACAGAGGGGGGCTAACAGCTCTTGAGAGGCAGCGCGAGCCTGAGCCAGACCCAGGACGGCTCCACCAGCACACGAGTCCTGCAGTACACTCATGCCAGCCATGTGCCTGCTACAGACACTTCCCAGACCTGATGCACACCACTGCAAGCAGCATCCACAGAGGCTCTCCTTGGGCTGTCCCTGCAGGCACTTGGGACCCAAAAGAACAGTGGTTAAGAACGTTCAAGCAAGCCAGAACAACAGCAAAGGCTCAATGGGTGCAGCAGCTCCACGGCATCGCTGAAGGACACTTCACCCTCCGGCCCTGCACGGCCACACCTATTTCACCAATTACAGCAGTCCTTTATCGACAAGCAAACACTTACTGAGGTTGCTACTAAATATGGGGGGGGAAAACAAGCCTGCAACAGAGGCTGAAAGCACATTTGGAACCCTTCTGGGACAGGACAACAACGAGACATCCATGACCAGAACTCACATTACCTTCCCAAAGTTGTCAGTGTGCTTCCGATAGTCTAGGTCCTCATCCTGAAGGGAGATAAAGAGTCACAATGTTGAAGCACTCAAACAGCTCACATGAGCAGGAACATGGCCGTGGGTGGCTCAGGCTGCACACCAGATCCCTGGCTCTGAACACTGACAAACCAGTTCATCTCCAGAGTCGTGTCCCAGCGTGAGTCAGATGAATCGTGTCCTCATCTGATCCCTGCCTGGCACCACACAGTGACGGTGGCTCTTGCCCAGCCTGCAGACCTGATAGCATTTCAAACCTACGTCCTCCCACAACAACGCAAGCCCCTAAGAGGACGGTGTCCCTCCTCCTTCCAAAGACACTGCACTGGAGATGGGCTCAGATCCCTGCGGCCAGCCAGAGCACGGCGCCATGGCATGGGGTGAGCTTCGGAAGTCCAGCTAAGCCAATCTAACAGCTCAGCACACTGGAAGATCTCCCCTCATCCCTGAACTGGTCCTTTGTCTTGTCCCTGCTGTTATATAGGAGCTTCCACTCATCAACCACCATATGACTACTTCCTTTATTTTCCTTTGGCTACATCAGCTATCTAGCACACAGTGAGCTGAAGAGACTCGAGGAAGGTCTGATCAGACTAGAGACAGCAGGAGGCAGAAGCATGCAGCTCAGTGGGAAGGAAGAAGACTTTCCAGTTCTGGCAGCACTGGGCTGATGGATCGACATGGCTGCAGGGTGCAGCTTCACGCCCGGGGAAGGCACAGGATAGCCTGTAGTGCCCGTAACATTCCCAGATTCCCACGCCTGTCACCAAGGACTGAAGCTTTCACCACCCCTCAACCTCCCCCTTCTCCAAAGCAGCACGGGCTGAGATTGCTGTGATCTCAGGCAGGCTTAAGCAAACATAAGCAGGTTGTTTTGCTGCCACTGCCCATAAGCAGCTTTCCAGTTCTCCCTGCACCCAGGAGCCAGGCCCAGGAGCTCCACTGCCATTTGGGACAGCAAAAGGAAAGAGCTGGCAAATGCCCTGGACTCCGAACTCCCACCCAAAGCCCCGTGACTCACTATGTTGCTGTGGTGAGCTTTAGTCATGAGCAGCATGCGGCCAACGAGGTCAGTGGTGGACACACCTTGGGTGCGTTTGCATTCCCTGCAGGGAGACAAGCAAAGATAGAGCAGAAGCCACAGAAACGGGTTTCTCCTCATTTCCCACCGTTACCACACAACACCTGACAAACCCAAACGAGGGGCTGTGCTTCTGCCTGCTCTTGATATAAAGTACAGCATCCATTCACTGAGCCTCTGCATCTCCACCCCACAGCAACTGCTCACATGAGCAGAGCTTACCTTGCACAGGCTCCCCAGAAGAGCCAACCCCCAATGAAGCCTCGAGGCCAGATCTAGCTTCTGCCAGGACCAGGCAGGCCCCACCAGCTGCCAGGCTGCAACACCTCCCAGAGCCACAGTGGCAGAAGCAACTGAAGCTCTGGCACACATCGCAGCTGAATCCAAGTGTAACCTGGGGACAGCTGTGCTTTATCTGATCCCCTTCAGGGCACAAACTCTCAGAAACTGCCCACAGCAGGGGAGGAAGGGGCGCAGCCGCAGGTTACCTGTATCGCCCCGCAGCCTTCACCTCCTCATAGGTATCCTTGCCATCTATCGTGAGGGTGATGTCATCTGCAGAGAGAGAAAAGCCTCAGAACTGCACCCAAGCCCTGCTGCACAGAAGCTGCTCTGATGGCAGGAGCTGAACAGGTTCAGCACATTGGCCAGACCACAACTCCTGCACTGAACCCCTGTGTGCACACAGGGGATACATCCTGCATCCCAGGGGAACGCCAAGGGGTTGCAAGACCACCCCATCTGTGGAGACAAGCATATTCCTGCATGCTGATCACCATTAGCCATCCAGCCCACTGTTCTGTAGGTAGCCCGGAAGATGAGAGCCAGTTGCCCTTGCACTGACACCAGCAGCAGCCAGGACTGAATTACTGCCTGAATGACAATGAACAGCTCCCATCAGCCTACCAAAAAGCACCTCAACCTTCATATCCCCAGGACTGCTTTTGGCTGTTGGCTCATGTTACCACCTTTCCAGTAAATTTAACAGCCCTCCAACAGCCCGTTCCTTCCCGCAGTGATGCCACTTGTACAGCCACATGGAGCTAACCTTCCTCAGAGTTAACTCTGGTTTGTCTTTGCCAGAGTTCCCAACTCACTCTACAAAAGCACCTCTCACTTACTCCCAGTGACAGTGCAAAGTTTTCACAAGTGAAAACCCATTCTCATTTGGCAGAACAGCCTGTTCACAGCAGGCACTGGCAGCTCACGGGTGACAGAGGAGTCCTAACCCCCCCCCTCACGTCAGGGCACAAGGACACGCTGCACACGGGCACAAACAGTGGGTTTGTGCCTGTCATCCTCCCAGTCCAGCTCAGCTATTGCAGAACTTATCTCTGCATCAACACAACCTGGCAAAGCTGCAGCATAAGGGCATCACCCAGGTGCAAGTACAGAGTGACTTGGCAGAGGGGATAAGCACAGGGCAACCGGAGCAAAGGCCACAAGCGCAGCTCTGCTGCCATAATCCCTCACTGAGCCTAGGAAGGGTCACGCACCCCAGGCGTGTTCAGGACACGTAACTAAGTTAACAAGGAATTTGATAATCAGCCTGTCCACGTGAAAAAGCCCGTCTGTCTCACACAGGATTAATGATTTATGGACACTTAGTGAAACGCTTGGCTCATCGACGGCAGGCGCCGGGCTCAGATGAGGAAGATCCATGACATGAGTGCAAAGACTCCTCCTGATCAAACCAAGAGATCACCTCCTGAGGGCCTGGGGAAGGGCTGAGGCTGCGTGAATCCGAGCAGCAGGCCCAGGAAGGGACAGAGTGCAAGGGCAAGGGTGTTTCCCAGAACACAGGTGCTCTTCAGTGACTGTAAACTGAAAAGTGTTCCCAATAGGAACTGGGTCTCTGATTACATGGTCAGCTAAGCCCCTGAACAGCTTATCAGCTGGATAAAGGGAGAGAAGCTTCCCAGATCTGATCTCATCCCAGGATAAGTAGCTATAAACACAACTGTATTTCTGCACTTACCCTTTAACAGCGTTTTTCACGTTAAGGTCTGCACAGATTTCTGCTAGTGCTAACCTCAGGATAGCTGTCAGACAGCACTTCCCCTCTGTCAGTGAGAGGGCTGCTTATAGCCCAGGGATGTGCCCACCCCTGGGGAGCCCAGCACGCTAAGCCTGGCACACAGCAGTGTTTCCCCACCACAGCAGGTCAGAAGCCAGGAAGCAGATCCCTGCACACGAGGTACCCAGTGGCCAGCACGTTCCTCAGCCTGGAGCACACGAGCCCCACAGGGTCTGTGTTAATGGAACACCTCAGAATATCACTCACCACCGTGCACACAGAAGTCACAGTTGTATTTGTCCAGAGTTTCCAGTGTGGTGACATAGGGAGCTCCTGGAGCAATCTCATCCACCCACTTAATGGCTTGCACCATTTTGTACCTCTCCTCCTGCGTAAAGACAGGGGGGCCCTTGTGCTTGGCAATCTCCTCTGAGCAAGAAACAGAAAAGCCCCATTAGAAGCATGTACCACAGCTATGAAGAAGCTCTCCTACAGGAGCCTCATTCATCTCACGGGTGGGTGAACTGCATCAGGGGCTCATACTCGAGGAGGAACCCTCAGCTAGATCAGAAAAGACTTTAATTCAGTTGCATTTCCTAAGCATGTAACAAGGGCCCTGGAACTCCCTGGAAAGGCAGAAGGACCCGGTGCCTCCCTGCACCCAGATGCTTGCTACTGGGAGGTACCTGGACCGCCTGGCAGCCCCAAGGGAAAATTCCCCTGTTAAACAACAGCTTCATGCTAGAACATACGCATCCATAAACCAATTTAAAATCCATCTTCACACACAAGAACTAGTTCTTAGCACTTAACTTCCCAATGGGCTACAACGAGTCCTCTCCACGCACCGATGTGCCTTGGAGTTATCAGCTCCACAGTCTGCACCAGCAAAACCAGCCAGGTTCTCAGCTGGTGCAGTTGTTCCTACAGCACAGGACACGGGTCACGCCTCACACAAACCCACGAGCTCTGAGCTACCGAGCCCTCGCTCCCGAGTGGGAACGGGGGAGCCCTTCTCCCTTCTCCCCTGCTCTCTGAAGGCTGCCGCTCCTTGCGGAGGTGCCGCTCTGTGCCGGGGGGGGGGGCAGCTCTCGGGGTGACTCCGCTGCGCGGCTCGAGGGGCAGCGCTCTCCGCTGCGCGGCTCGAGGGGCAGCGCTCGGGGGGGGGGCAGCTCTCGGGGTGACTCCGCTGCGCGGCTCGAGGGGCAGCGCTCTTACCGTCCGTGTGCACCCCGACGATCAGGTAATCGCCCATGGTCCGCGCCTGGCGCAGCTGGTTCGAGTGCCCGTAGTGCACCATGTCATAGCTGCAAACACAGCGGCCGGGTCAGCCCGCGGGAGCAGCCGGCCCGCCGGTCGGGTGTCACCGGCTCCGCACGGGGCAGCGCTGCCAGACCGCGCCGGGCTCCCCGGGGCAGCCGCAGCGCCCGCTCTCTCCGCACCCAGCCCCGGGCGAACCAAGGCACGGCCCTGCGGGGGCTCCCCTCCCCCCGCCGCGCAAACCTTGCGGGAGCCCCGTCCCGTTGCGGGCCCGGCCGCGGTCACAGAGGAGCCGGAGGCACCAGCGTCGCCAACACCGTTTATTTCTCCGCGCCCGCCCCACTCACCATCCGTCGCACCAGACGCGCACAGGCCGCGCCGCAGCCCTGCCGCCCGCCGCGGGGCCGCCGCCCGCCGCCCCGTTGCGCAGCATGGCCGCGCTGTCACCGGCAGCGCCGCGCGCCCGCGGAACAGCCACCGGAGCCGCCACCGCCCGCCTCGCCCCGCCCCGCGCCCGCCCCGCCGCCATCTTGGGGCGCGGCCCCGCCCCCGCTCAGCTCTTCCTGCGCCGGGATCCCTTGGCGCAGCCGCGGCCGAGCCACCCCCCGGCCCGGCCCGGCGGCCCCGGCTGCTCCCGCTGCGCCTCCTCGCTCCGCGGCGGCTCCTCGGCGCCCGGCGGCGGCGCCACCGGCTTCCGCGAGTGCGTCCCCTCCTCGCCGGGGAGCAGCGGCTCGGCCAGCGCGAAGATGGGGTCCCGCGCCCTGCGGAGAGAGGGCGAGCGTGGGACAGCTGCCGGGCGGCCCCGGGCGGGCACCGCCGGGTGCGGGGCAGGGCCCCGGCGCTCACCGGTCGTAGCGCGGGATGTCCAGCCCCAGCTCCGCCATCACCAGCCGCATCACGTCGTCGCAGCGGCCGTGCAGCTTCAGGGCGGCCAGGTCGTCCTTGGGGGTCCACTGCAGGAGCGACAGCAGAGCCGCGGCTGCAGCGGCTGCAACACCTCCCGCCCCCCCCCCGGCTGACCACACACCGGCACCGGGCTGTCCCACACCCTCCCAGCCCGTGCCGGGCGCGCTCACCTGCAGGTTCACGATGTAGAGCTTGGGACGCCGGGGCGGCGGCTTGCTCATGCACCAAAGGTGGGGGTATTTTTTCAGGACCTGTCACAAAACAGAGGGGCTGAGCACAGCCAACGGCCGCGGAACAGCGACCCGCATCGGCGAGAGGAAAAGGAATGTATTACCAGGAGGGGAAAGAGGGAGGAAGAGAGACTATCACAGATGGTGGGCGAATCCTGACACCAGAGTTTACAGTTGTCTGTTTGGGAGGAGACTGCTCAGCACCAAGGTGTAGCACCAAGAGGGAATGCTGCTAACAATCTTCACCGAGTCTCTAAAGTTACCTTTAAGCTGGAACCCAGACAAAGAATCACATCTGCTTTGCTTGCAGCTTCTGTTGCTGCTTCCCAGTTCAGGGGCTGCCTCAATGTCCCCTTCTCCCCAAAGTGGACGATTGTATCTCTCAACTGCGCCCCACACTTGTGGCACATCCTGCCAGTGTGATGCCTGTGCAGGGCTGTGCGCTCCGTGACGTCAAATACTCGCACATACTCTCTGTTGGGTGTACACGAAGTGCAGACCTGGCACAGGAAAAAAGCAAAACCCTGTTACACCCCCAGCATCCAAGGCTGTGGGAGGCCAGGAACCAGCCACTGCCCTCAGGAGAAAAGCACTTTATGGGGACAACAAAGTGGAAGTGCTAGGAGGGATCATCAGGGATCAGATGCTAACTAGGGAAAGTCTGGAAAACCTCAGCCAGCAATTGGAATTACAGGGGGCCTGTGAGCTTTGCCACAGGAGGGATTTCAGGGGAGGGCTGAAGAAGAGCAGACAGAAGCAGAAAGCTCTAGCAAGTACAGTGAGAGCTGTACAGAATGCTTCAGTTTGTGCTTCCTAGCTCGTTCATCCCAAACCTGATGGCCTTAACTAAGCAAAGGGTAGCCCTTTTCCTAGTTCTTGAGCTAGTGATAGATAAATAGTTTGTACTATTTTCCTGCAAAGCCCCCAGGCAGTAACTTCACCCTGTTCTGGCCACTCACCTCTATGTACATGTTTCCATGAAGCTCAGATATTGCTGCTCGGGGCAACCCACTCCGCAGGTGCAGCCCATCACAGTTTTGAGACACCACGTGCTGCACCTTGAGGAGAACAACACACTGAGCCAGTTACCACGCACGCGCACACAGCACTGACTGTGTTACTCAAATGAGGTGTCTCAACACATGCCAAATCACCCTGTGCAGGGTGGATGGGAAATAAGGCAGCCTGGAGAACAGAGCTTTATGAGAGCTCCTCCTGTCACACAGCAGTATCAGAGAGCTGCCAGTGCTGCTGACGCTGTGGCCACAAGATGCAAGCACACAGTGTGAAAGACAAGGCACAAGGGGAAAAGCTGCCAGGGCTACAGACTGGAGCAAGCCTGACGGAGACTCAGGTGTATGTGAGCACGTGTGATTTATACACATAGACACGTAGCCACCTGAGTGAAAACAGGAGTTAGGCAGCCTCATGAAAAGCTTTTTTCCCTTGGTGGGCTTTATTTACCATACACAGAGGAACAAAAGTGAGGCGCAGCAAAAGCATCTTACCAGGTTGTGCTTGTGTAGGCAGGCGATGCTCATGTGGGTGAGCGTGGGCTCTGCCTCACTCAGATCTGTGGCCCTGACAAGGCGCAAGGAAAAAAATAAAGTTGAATTGCCATTAAGGTCTCCTTCAGTCTCAGCTTTCTGCCACACAGCTCAGATTGTGTCTCTACCTGATGCTCCTGCCCTTCTGCAGCAACGTCCATATGCCATTAGGGCCTCTGTAGTCTGGGATCGAAGCTGCCTGTGTCATCAGGGGAGAAAAAATGAGGCCTGGCAGGAGGTTCACACCCTTGTCCTCAAACACATCAACCCGATCGCACCCAGGGCCTCCAGACCCTCCTCACTGACAGGGACTTTTTAATTCCCTCCAAGGTTTCTAGAGCAGTGGTTCCCTAATTGCAGTAAAACCTTCTTTTCATGTTCTCTCTCTCTTTAGCATCTCTTCTACCTTAAAGCTCCCATTTTCACCCCCAGTATTTATTTTCTCCAATTTTACCACTATGGAGTCCCTCCAGAACTCTTTTTGACCCTTGGTATTGCCACTCCTTACACATAACTTAATTCTTGAATCTTTCCTTACTTTCATTAGACTGATTTCTGGCAGCTCACACTCAGCAAAAATACTCCTAACATTGTACATCCTGCCCAGAATCGTGCCCCATATCAGTACACACTGTAGAAAAGGGACAGAAAGTAGGGTTCCCATGTCAGGTATCAGTAAAGTGACACATCACGTTAGAAGAAGAAGAGCCACTTCTTTCCCAGATTTCCACTTTCCCAGAAGCCATCACAGCATTTCTTGAAGTGTCATTTCTAAGTTCCAGTAGCACCAGCTACTCCTGCTTGTCCAGGCTGGACGCAGCCTTGGGTGATATGGTTTAGTGTGAGGTGTCCCTGCTCATAGCAGGGGGGTTGGAACTAGATGATCTTAAGGTCCTTTCCAACCCTAACTAGTCTATGATTCTATTAGCACAACGTTAATGAGTCAATTTGGTTTTAGGTTTCAGACCAAAAGCAGTCAAAGACACTCAAGAATGGAGCCAGATTGGCGATCTTCCCGTTTAAGCAGCACGTTCCTCACATGCTCACAGAGGTGATGCAGCCTCAGAATCTCCTGGGCAGGAGGCATGAGCCCAGGATACAAACTAACCATTGCCCTCGTCATGGTGCGTGTGCTCCCGCCACAACCCAGGCTCCTAACATGCACCATGCAGTCATTCGGAAACCACAAAAATAGCCCAAACACTGCAACAGCCCTGCAGAAGCTCCCACAGCTCCAGCCACTCACCCTGAAGAAACCTACCGTACTGATCCCGGCTCCCGTGTAGATGATGAGGTGCTTGGCGCTGCAGATGGCAGCAGCCAGCTCAGTGGCCTTTCTCCTTAACTCCTCTGGTTCGTCACATACCTGGAAAACACAATTGAGCAAGTTCACGTGTTTCTGAGATAGGGTGAGCTGGGGATAGCAGAGCAGTCTCTGCACGCTTGACACCAGCCATCACTGCTACCAGAAGTGGCTTCCGAAGAAAACAACCACAGAATCCCAAAACCTCAGGTTGGAAGTGACTTTATGGATCATCTGGGCCAACCTTCCCAGGCAAAGCATGAGCTAGGCTAGCTGCCCCAGCACCCTGTCCAGACAGATCTTAAGTGTCCAGTGCTGGGGAATCCACCACTTCCCTATGGAGACCATTCCAATGGCTGGCGGTTCTCCTTCCGAGAAACTTCCCTCCTGTGCCCAGCCAGGGACTCCCCAGCAATAACTTGTGCCCATCACCCCCCGTCTTTTCCACGTTAAAAATAACCCGTTGCTGCCCAAGGGGGGTCAAGAGTAGAGGCTCCCGGATCGCAGCACACGCGGATCCATCTCCCGGTCCCGAGGCACGCGCCCGCACGGGTCTGGCAGCCCCGAAACGGAGCGAACCGCGAGCGGAGCAGAGCCGTTCCCGGCCCCGCGGCTGCTCCCGCGGCCCGCCGCAGCTCCAGCGCCCCTGCGCCGGCCCCGACGCGCACCTCCTCCTGCCGCCGGCGCAGCCGCTCTCGCCGCTTGCGGCGCCGCTCCAGCTCGCGGACGATGTCGTCGCTCTCGTCCAGCACTTGGCACTCCTCGGGGCTCCGCTCCGCCGGCGGCTTCCTCCAGATGCGGAACACCTGCGCGGCACGGGAGGTCAGGGTGGCCGCGGGGCGGGGGGCGGCCGGCGCCGGGCAGGGCCGTACCTGTCTCCGCCGGTCCCGCTGCTCCTCCTGCTGCAGGAGCTCGGCGCGGGCCGCCGCCTTTCGCTCCGCGCGGCTCGCGCTGCCGCCGGCCGCCATCTCCCCGGAAGCGCCGCGCTTCCGCCACCGCCCGCCCGGCCGCAGGCCCGCTTCCGCCCGCCCTCAGCCCCGCCCACCTCGAGCGCGACGGCGCCCCCCAGCGGCGCGGCGGACCGCGCCCTAAGGAAGCGCGAGGCGGTGGCTGTTTGAAAGCGGTTTATTGTCACGTACAAAAGGGCGGCGGCGGCCGGGCTCTATGTACAGCAATAAATACCGGCCGGCCGGCCGCCGCCGGGCATAACTTACCAATAAATACCGCCCGCTCCGCCGGGCAGCGGCGCCCGTACACAAGTCACCACACGATACACAACCGCCGGGGCCCGCGGCACCGCCTCCCCCCGGCCCCCGGGGCGGGAGAAAGAAAACACGACACCTTCACAGCAGGGAACCAAACGGACGAGCACCTCGGGACGGAACACTGTACACGAGAGGCCGCGGGACGGCCCCGCCACCGCCTCAGAGACATCCCCGGGGTCCAGCACACCTCCCCGGCCAGAGCACAGCAGAGGCACTCGCGTCCCCCCCCGCACCCACAGAGCGCAGGCACGCACCGGCCCCTCCAGCCGCGGCAGCGCTGCCGCCGGCTCTGCCCTCCTGGCTCCGGGCCTCGCTCCAGAGCAGCACAGTCTCACCAGCAGCAGTGCAGGGCCAGGCCTCCAGATGGGTTCAGAACTCAGCTCTGGACAGGTCTGACCTCAGGCTGGCTCCAGGAGGGACAGGGCTGAGACTGACACCCCAAGCAACTGGAGGTCATCGCGTTTTGGAAGGTCTCGCCTCTTCCAGGCACATCACCAGCTGGAAGACAAGGGTTAGAGCCCACAGCTCCAAGCACTGCTCAGTGCGTAGCCCAGCCAGTCAACAGCTGGGAAGCGACACGCTTCAGCTCCAAGAAGAAGCCCAGGGCTGGGAGAGAGAAACCTGGAGGCAATGTTCTAACCTGTTCCCTGTTCAAGAAGTTCTGGAACCTGGAAAACCTTTCAAAACAGCTCCTCCCTAAACTCCCCATCAGTCAGAGCAAAGCTGATCTCCTCTTCCAGCAGGAAATCCCCACCAACTATCTGCTCCTCTCCTGCCACACTGCAGCTTCCATCAGTTTACCTGCTTCTCGGCCCCGAGGACAACAGTACCAGATCAGCTACAGGAGAAACGCATCAAACCACCAAGTACAGTAAACCGCCCCCCACAAGGCTGCAGCATCACTTGTGCCATCCTGGCCCGTCCCCTCCATTCAGGAGGCTTTGGGCAGCCAGGAGCTCACATGGACTTCACCCCCACGTCCTGCTTCTCTGCAACTACTCAGTAATCAGCTCAAAGCTCTGGGAAGGGCAAGGGGGATCAAAGTGTTTGAGGAAATGGAGCTTGGCCACAAACAGCTCCTCAGCTGTGTCACACAGCTCTGAGTGCTCCTCCAACACCCGCGAGCAGGACCTGCACCAGGCCGGGCAGTGACCAGGCCACAGCTCCATTTCCAGCACTACAAACACTCAGAACCAGCACCGTCCCCTGTCAGATAAGCCCCAAGAGCAACACAAGCTCTGACTGCAGGATCCAATTCCACAGTTAAATTCCATCAGCCTCTTCCTAAACTTGGACAGTTCTCCCTTACGTTACTCCTCTGCCAGCTCTGCTGGAGAGAGGAAAGCACGGTTTCCCCATGCAGGTAACAGTGCTCCAGTGCCAGCTGCTCTCACAGCACACCTCTGCAGAGACATGTTTCTGCACAGGCATCACCAATAGCTGCACCAGCCGTCCCTCAAGAACAGCAGCCCCTTTGCCAGTGTGCCAGAATCCTCCTGGAGAATGCAGAGATGCCAACTTCATCTCTCGGTTGAGCTTGGGGAAAACAACGGCAGCAAGAAAACGACAGCACACGGCGAAGGCAGCCACCGGCACCAGCACAGCACAGCGAGCTCAGAGAACAGAGAGCGCAACACGAGGGGACACGACGGAAGCCAACGAGGTCAAGAATAAGTCACTTTTGGTACAACTGCAAAAAGATATCAAACAGGACTTGCCTCTTTTTTTGTCTTTTTCTAAGTTTTATAAATAAAGTCTGATAACTCTTTATAAAAACTAACCTCAGAGCCACGGCGTGCGGGAGGTTCATGAGAAACTTTAAAATTATTTCTTTATTAACTTTTTACTAGCAAAGTCTCCGAGAATATTTCCCCATTCAGATGGTCAAATATTCTCGCCCTCTCAGATAAAAAAGCTGACTATAAATACGCTCTCTTTTCTGTCTGATTTTAATTTTAAACTTAGATAATTTAATAACTCTTAAAACGATGTTTCTCTCTTTAAATAAAGGGCTATTTAACCACATAAACTGGTTGTGTAAACCATCACACTAGAGACACTTGATACCCTCAAAACACGGGAACAACTAGTGAGTTTGGTCTTGTTCAGTGCAAGACATTAGGCACAAAACCGGCCTGCAGTCGACATGGTACCTTCCCTTCCTCGGGGTGCTCTGGCCCAGCGCTGGGGCAGAGGCAGGGGCACAGCAGCATCTTCCTGTCCACCACTGCTAGTTCACACAGCTAACGCCACGGACATCTGAGGGGAAACCCACTGTCAGGGCACAGAGGCACACCAAGAAAGGAATACAAACCTATTACACAGAACACCCCAACTGCAACTACAGGTACCAAATGAGACAAAAGCAGCAGGTTCAGGCGCCTGGCAGTCAGGCACCGAGATGCACCACCAGGAAGAGTAATGAAATAAAACCTTTGGAAGTGACTGAAAACTAGGGTTCCCAGCCCTGGGAAGAAAGCCTCCCTCCAGACCTTCCCCAGCCCTCCCGTCGCCTGCCCTCAGCCACACTGCACAGACGTTCCTTGGCTACAAACCCAAGATCTCGCAGCTTGTCCCAAGGGCGCCCGAGGGCTGCAGATCACTGGGCGGGAGGCTCTGTCTGCACAGGACAAGGGACGCATCACCACTGCTCATACCAATCTGGACACAACAAAACAAAACTGGAGTGATCAGCAGGCCAGTCCTGGGCCAAGTAGAAGGAACCCGGACCCATCTGGGGAGGGTTTGTGCTTTGGGGGTTCCAGGCTGGTTTTGTGCCTAACTGCCCTGCACAGACAAGCTGAGGCAACTCTCGCTTCACTAAGACCGGGCGTCCGTTTTGGATTTCACTATCGTGATGACACTGGTAGTAGCGACCTTGCCAGGGATGAGGGGACCCACACTGGAGGTGAGAGGCCCCCGTGCAGGGGTCACAGGGCTCCGGGCCACGGTTCTGGCGAAGTTCTGGAGAGCCTCATATTTGGAGCGGAGAGCATCGAGTTCCATTTTCATGCTGGCGTTCTCCGATGCCAGCTTCTCCACTTCTTGCTGCAGCTCTGCCTTCTGCTTCTCCAGTTCCTCCTTCTGGGTAACACGCTTGACTCTGCAGCTGGCCGCGTAGCCCCGGTTCTTCAGCGTGCGCCGGCGCTGCTTCAGCTGGATGATCTCCTCCTTCGACAGGCCCCGCAGATGCTGATTCAGCTCCCGCACAGACATGGTCACCAGCTCCTCATCTGTCAAGCTGGTCCCATTCTCACCTGGCTCCCGCTTCACCTGGAAGAGATGGCAGCACACACCTGTGAAACCTGGAGCAGATGCACCCACCACCTGCAGCCCTTTAGCCACCTGCCTTACCTTCAAGGCCTTGTTTCCTTTGTTGGGGGTCGTCATAACACGACAGCCGTGTCAAGCAGGTGCTGGAAGGGAAGAAGGTCAGGTTAGCCCCCCGGGACACAGTGGAGTCTGTGGCAGGGCAGCCCCCAGCACTGCTGCACATCCCACACCACTCCCCGAAACACCCTCAAAAAGCACCCGCCTGAGCCGGACTCAAAGCGGCAGTTTCTGTCCCTAAGCAGGCGCCGCTGCCCTTCCAACCCCCTCCCACAGAGGCTTTGGGCAATGCCAGTTTCTCCCTTGGGGTGGGGGAAATTAAAACACGAGGAGGAGCCGGAGTACACGGAAGCCATGTGCATCTAAAAATAGCCTGGCAGCAGCGGCTGGTCCGGGCTCGGCTGCTCAGGGCCAGTCACGCTGACTCAGCGTCACCGGCACCACGGCCTCCCGCTCCCAGCCGCAGCCCTGGTGCTCCACTCACCCTTCCAGCTCCAGAACCAGCCCAGAACACGAGTCCCACCAGCCCATAGGTGCCCCCAGGGACGCAGCCAGAGCAGTTCAGCAAGGAGCACAGGGGAAGCCTTTGCCTCCACAACACAGCTCACTGGGCATCCTGCGGGACGGGGGAACACCACTGCTGTGCTCACAGCTCTCCAAATGTCTTTTGCTCCCCAGGAAAGCCAGCACATCCAGGTTCCAGTCAAAGCTCTGCACTCAACCTTTCCCAAGGAACAGAACAACCTGACACTGCAGCACAAAGGAGCGCTTGGGCACACTGGAATCCCATCAGTCTTGGGCCAGTGGCAGCAGCAGCATTCCCCTCTCCCACTCACGCAAAACTGATCCCAGCTCTTGATCTCTTCTGCGAGAAAGCCCCTCTTGGGCCCAGGCAATTCAAGGGCCCAGAACCACCTTCTCCTTCCATTAGCGTCAGCGCCAAGGTACGCTCATCAGGAAGCAAGGACATGGAGCAGCCAAAACCAGAGAGCAGACTCCTTCACTGCCCCAGGACTTCAGAGCCAGTGACAGCAAAACCCCCAGGCCTGTTCCCACAGTAACTCCAAACAAGCTCTGGTTTCTGTCCCTGCATACCTGCTCCCCTCAGGCTGTAGTTCAGAGCTACTGCCCTGCTCAATGAATGAATCCCTCAGACATTGCTCCACCAACATGGCTGTGCCTCAGGCAGCCAGAACCATACAGCTCCTTGAGAGAGGCAAGTGCTCCTGTGCCAGCACAGCCTGCAAACACCTCTGTCCCTTTTGTCTCTTCGGTGCCCAACAGTCAACAACAGTTTAGTTTGCCACCGCTTTGCTAAGTGTAGGAGGCACTGATATACAGTTATAGCCAAAACAACAGATGCACAAGTCAGCAAATATGGAGCTGTGCTCTTCCAGCAGCTGTGGCGCAGACTCCCCCAGTGCATCTACCACCTATTAGAGGTGAATGGGGTCAGCACTCCCCAGGACACTGTCAGAGCTGTTCCCAAAGCCTCCAGCCTTCCTGGAGGCAGGCTATTTATACCCAGAGGACAACTCTCCTTGATATGAGATGTACGCTAGAACCTGGCAGTGCTGGCACAGGAAGGGTCACTCTGCTGCCCAGAGGAGGTAGCTGCAGTGAGGCCGCTAACACAGGGCATAGAGCACACAGCCAGCTGCTTTGTAAACCTGATTCTTCGCTCTTCCCCATTCTGGGGTATTTTCTCTGCTCCTACCGGGCAAATGACACCGCTGCCGGGAAAAGGGGAGAAGGCAGGGGATACCTGGGAGACCAACAATGCCACCGCTGCAGCACCTCTGGCGAGCACAAGGAGCCAAGGCAAACATGGGCAGGGGACCTGCCTTGTGGCACTAAGGAATTTCCAGGTGCTTGGCAAGCACTCAACGCCCTTCGCTACAGCAAAGCTGAAATAAAACAAACAAGGAGACAAAGGTGCTGCACCGGGCAGGGCTGTCCGGCAGCTCGCAGACGGGACACCCAGAGAGCTGGCACCAGGACAAGAGCCTGACTCTTCAGCCTGCGGGCGGGTGAGCTCCTGGGGCTTCCCAGAGGGATCCTACCGAAAGGCGCCGACGGCACCGAAGGAAACGCAGCCTCAACGCGTCTGCCCCGGGCTCCAGCGGCCTGACCTCAGCAGCAGCGCGGCCGCCGCCGCCGGGCTCCGCTCGGAGCTGCTCGCACCGCGCATGAGCCAGCGCCGTTCCCCACATTCCCGGCGTCAGCGCCCCGCCACGAGCCCCGTGTAAACACGGTGACGTCACCGCTCCGGCGCACGGCGCTGGCGGCAGGGAGGGAGGGAGGCCCCGCCGCGGGGACCCGGGCAGGGGCGCGCTCCGAGCGGCCCCGCAGCGCCGTGTGCCCGGGGCTGCCGCGCCGCGGCTCTCCCGGTGCGTTCCCGGCCCTGTTTATGCACGGCAGCTCCCGCAGCTGCCCCGCTAACCCAGGCGTGTTGGGTGACTCCCCCAGTTACACACAGAGCTAGGGTTGGGCCTGCCCCGTGCCCCCCCAGGAGTCCCTGGTGAGCTCACATCCGACCCAGGGCATTTGGACAGCCACTCTTCCATCAAGGAATCTGCCCACCCAGCCGCATTTAACCACTTACAGAGAAAGGGAAGAGCTGGCTCCAGGAGAGCCCTTCCAGCCTTTCCCAGTGCCTTCCTCTAACCTCACAGCTCAAACATCACATACCGTGGTCAGAGACATCCCCAGCTCCGGAGAGCAAGACCCCCAGTGCACACTGACACCCCGTGCCAGTCTGGCGCCACAGCCTGCTCCGCAGTCCCACCAAAGGGGCTTTCCTTCCCGCCACGCAGGGGATCTGCTCAGCTCCAAGGAGGCTGCACCGAGCAGACCCACAGCCCCAGCCCGTTCCCTGCACCCACCGTAGCCCTGGCAGGGCATGAGCCACAGGCCCCTCCAGGATGTGGGCCAGGACCTCGGAACCGCATCACCTCAGCTACCAGCCCTCTCCCAGGCGGCATCAGCTGCACCGTGATGGGCGCTGGAGTGATGGAGATGTCCTGTGACCAAGCCCCCCCGCAGGAAAAGGCGCTGGACACCTCCGTGACTCGCAACCCTCTCCAGACCCTGCTTCTCCTGCCCACCTCGCAGAGGGGCAGCCAACGAGAAGGAAGCCAGCAGCGCGACCTGGGGAGGAAGCCCCGCCCGGGACCCGCCGCCCGGAGCGGGGGAGCTGAGGCTGGAGGAGCAGCGGGAGAGGCGGGCCTGGGCCGCCGGTCCGCAGAGCTCACGGGACCGGGAAGGGCGGGGCAGGACGCGCCCGCGGTGCTCGCTGTCGGCCCCACGCACCTGTTGCTCGGCCGCGGGGCGGGGAACCGGGCGGGGCGGCGGACAGGGGCGGGCAGCACCGGGCGGCCACGGCCCCGGAACCCCTCCTTGAGTCAGCGGCGACGGCCCCGCGGTACACTCGCCAGCCGGCGGCGGCCCGGCCGCCATCCCGGGCCCGCCGCGCCCGCCCCGCCCCGGCCCGCCCGCGGGGACCTGCCCGCCGCCCCACCCGGTGCGAGGGCCGCGCCCGCCGCCCGAGCCGCGCCCGCCGGTCTCACCTCCTCACGGGGCCGCCGGGGCCAGGCCGGGCGGGGAGGCCGCGCTGGGAGGGACCGGGACGCCGCGAGCCGCCGCTGCCGCCGCTCACGGACGCGTCACGTGATATTTGGGTCACGTGGCTCCATTCATGAAGCGCCCGGCGCAACCGCCCCGGGCCTTAAGGGGGCCGCGCCTTAAAGGGGCGGCGGCGGCGGGGACCGGCATGGCATGGCATGGCATGGCATGGCATGGCCGGCCGGTGCCGGCTCACCCCCGCCAAGGCCCCGGTGGACCTCCCGGCCCTTCTGGTGCAGCCTCCGGCCTTCTGCGTCGAAACCGGCTCCTCGCCTGCACCCCCAGCATCCTGGAGCTGCTGAACCTGCCGGAGCAGCAGGCAGGCCCTAGGAGGCACTGACCAAGCAGCGTGCTTTGCAGCAGCCCCCGGCTCCGAGCCAAGCCCGGGCTGCGCAGCGCTAACACCGGGGCTGGCTCCTGCTCCCCGGGGTCCGGACCCGCTGCTCAGGGTGGTCCCAGCTCTGCTCCCGTAACGGTGGGTCCATAACGCAGGAATACTGCTGCCAGCTGAACTAACTGCTGTGCTAGAACAAAGCAGTGGTGACTACTGCAGCAGTGAAGGACAAGCGGAACATCAGCAATGAAACTGGGAGTTAAGGCCACATCAATAGGCCCTGCCCTGGGCATTCAGAGCGGCATCGCTGTTCCCTGCTGTGCTCAGGGGTTGTGAGCTCGAGCCCTGAGGGCTCCTTCCTAGACCCTGACAGGCTGGTGTCCCCTGCTGCTGACCAGCTCACTGTGGCTCTGCAGCATCTAGGAAGTTCATCTATAGCTCTGCCTCGCTGGGGGTACACAAGGGCAGCCCAGAAGCCTCTCTGCAGAGGGGTGGCCATCCCACCTTTTATTCTGCATCACACTTTATCAGCCAAATGGAAACTTTCCGCACTGTTCCTCATTTTCAGCTTCTGAGATGGGAATCGAGGAACATGCAGCACTCACAGCACTCACTCTTGTGTGCAGTGGCACCTCTAGAAAGCCTCAGCGGTTGGGATACTCAGCCTGTCCTCCTTCCCTCCTCTTGAATCCCTGAAAACTGTGAGCACAGGGCCCCAGAGCAGCTGTTGGGCTGTTACTCGGCAAGCACTGGTGACAAGCAATGGGCTGATGTGCTCCCCTGCCCGCCCCTGGACAAACCATCTGCAGTCAGGTTGGCAGCACACCTTGGGCAAGCTCCCTCAGGCAGCAAGGACCCAGTGGGCACTGCCAGAGGCGAGAGATACACCCAGTTCAAACAGCTGGGGTTAGCCAGAGCTCTGCTGGAGCAGCAGTTTATTATTAGAGGGAAGAGGAGCAACCATCTGTCATGCCTACAGGGTCAAACTCTTGCTACCAGCTGAGAGCCTAGCACTAAAACTGCTTTAGCATTACCAGCACCTTTGGCAGCCTCTGCATCGATACCAAAATGCTTTTCCTGCATCACCTGCATGAAGTTTCAGCGACCAAGCGAAAAGGGAGCCCTCACTACCCCTTCCCCTGCCCAACCGCCCAATGCTAGTAGCAAAGTAGGGTCAGTGAGAACAGCTCACAGTTCCCCACACCAGGAGGACAGAGAGCAGTGCCAGACAGAAACAGAGTGTCCAGAGGTTCACACCATCTGTCTCAAAGTGAAGGCAGATGGAAGATGGGCAGAGGCACTTTGGTTCCTTCTGAGAGGCACTTTAGGGCCCAGCCTCCAACATAGTGCACAGCACTGCATCTGCATGGCAGCATCTGCTCTAGCTAGTAAAGACAGTAAGAAGACACAGGCTCAGACAGCAGATGTAAGATAGGGCCTTGGAAACCGCAAGACATTCTGAAACCTCTTTAAAAATCCAATTAGGAGCCACCTCTGCATGGGACACCTCGAACACTGCCTGAGTCCGACAAGTACCCAAGGCTTCTGAACAAACGATGCCCTTGATGAAGCTCTGAAGATGGCATCACCCCTGCCCAACAAAGATCAGCAATGCCAGGGACGGTTTGCACCAACCCCACTACAAGTTAAAGAACCTCTTCTACAGCACTGCACCGTCCCACAGCTGCCAAGAGCCAGGCATGGCGGACACCAGCATTCAGAGCGAGTGTTCTTAGACATAAAGAAAGGGCACAGAGGAGACTGATATTCAGCACAGCCAACTACAGCAGCCTATTCAGTTCTTCTTGCTGCCAGGGTGCTTATTGTTGAACAGACTGACTTTGCTGGCAGATGCCAGTGACACAGAAGGAGACTCCAGCTTAACCTTATCCAGCAAAGTCTTCTTTATGGCTGCTGGGGAGATCTTCTCTTGGTCTGCCAAATGCTGCAGCTCCCTGCAATGGGGTGGTGGGAGAGTTAAGACATAGCAAGAGATGGGGAGCATGCAGGGCAAGGCTCTCTGTAGGAGGCCCTGTAGGACCTCCCTGGTGCTGACCTTGTTCGTATGCAGGAAGCCTCCACAGCATTGATCAGGAGTGAGCGGAAGCCACCACTCTCCAGAAAGTGCAGGGCGTGGATGGTGGCTCCCCCGGGGGAGCAGACGTTGTCCTTCAGCTGCCCAGGATGCTGCTCAGACTCCAACAGCATCTTGGCAGCACCCTGTGGTGAGGAAGAGAAAACGGCTGCCAGAGCTGACCGAGAAACCCACCATCAAATACTCCTGCTCTCCACTGTGGAGAGCAGCACCCAGCACTCACAGGGGCAAACGGAGCTCCCCTGAGAGCCATTAGCAGGCTGCCAAAACACTTTTCAGACCTGAAAAGCCTGCAGACGAGTCAGAGTTCCCCAAGCCCCAGCTCCCACAATACCACACGCCAGCAGAGGGCTGCAGACCCTTCCTATGTCCCCTCACTGGGAACCTGTGTGCAGGCAAACCAAATATGCGGTTTACAGTAGATTCGGTAAGAGGACTGAAACCACTTCAGACCCGTGATGTGCACAATGCTCTGCACAGACTCAAACGTGTTCTGGAGAGGGAATACTGACCAGCAAAGCCTGCGCTCCAAGCCGAACAGCCAGCCTGCGGGGAAGACCCATTTTCACTCCCCCATCCGCCAGAGCATCCAGGGCAGTGAACGCCTGAGACCAGACAGAGGAAGAAGGTGAGCGAACGTCTCTACTTCAAGAGCGCCTCAGGGAGGAGAGAATCCAGGGCTCCAGGATCACACTGTGACTGCTCTTGCTTACAGACTTCACTGTCTTCACTGCCTGGCTGCCACACCAGACCTCCCTCCCACTGCTTCCCACTCTGGAGTGGGGGGAATGGGAGACATTCAGCTCCTGTGTCATACTAACTGCAGGTCCATGTTTTGCAACAGGGACACTGCACACTGGCTGTGGACTTCAGACTTATCCAACTGGTAACAGGCTTCTGTTGTTGACCTGGGCTGGTTATAAACTGGACACCTGGATTACATGTTTCATCACAAACATGAGCGATGAGGAAAACAAGAATGACAAACTGAAGCTGCATGGACCTTCCCCACATGCAAAGCCCACTGCTATCCCCAGGCCTGCCCCAAGTTGAGGAAGGAGCACATACATAGGCAGGGCCACTGCCACTGAGCCCTGTTACAGCATCAATCAGGTCCTCTTCCACCTCGGTGCAGAAGCCTACGCTGGCCATCAGCTGTTCCAAGAGCTTCCCATCCTCCACATCCGCGTGAGTGCCAGTAGCATAGACTGTAGCGCCTTCCCGGACAATGACAGGGGTGTTGGTCATGCACCTGATCACTTTTGGTGTGGGGCAGAAGGTAGAGAGTTTCTTAGGAGAGAAAATCATTAGAGATAGAAGGAAAGAAAGAAGGAAAGAAAAGAAAGGAGAAAAATGAGGTTCAGTCCATATCTGGCACAACAAAGAAGCTATCTAGGGAGGGACTCTCCCCTGGCAAGAACACCACAAGCAAAGAGAAAATAGACACTCCTGTATCCCAAATCCCCTGCTTTAAGCCACAGCCATGACCCACCTCTGCTAGGGGAAAGACCTGATATACCTCGTGTGACAGAGGAGCTGGCACAAAGCTCCTACAGCCTCTTCTGGTGGGGACCCAAAGCAATCACCTGGCTGCAGCACCGGTTTAGCCCTGGGAAGCACTAGCACACACTCCTGGGGGCCGGAGGTCAGTTCCTGAGCACCGGGTGTCTGCTGTGGCTCCTGTCGGGGTACCCCGGGCCTCCCCATGCCCACTCACCTTCTCGATGGAGCTGATGGTGACACCGGCCGCGCAGGAGACCACGATGTGATGGGCCTCGATATCGGGGCCCACTTCCTCCAGGATGAAGGGGATGATAGGGGGCTTCACGGCCAGGAAGAGGACATCGCTGTTCTTCACCGTGTCCTTGTTGCTCACCGTGAAGTTCACGCCCATTTTCTGCAGCGGTTCGGGAGAAACGGGGCCGCTGTCACCGGGGGCCGCTCCCGGGGAGGCTCTCACAGCGCCCGCCGCCGCCGGGCCCCACTCACCCGCAGCCCGCTCACGGTGGGCAGGTCCGTGTCCGGGGAGCTCGCCGTGATCTTGTGCGCGGCCAGGACCCCTGCGAACGGTACCGCGTCAGCCCCAGCGCCGCGCGCGCGCCCGCCCCTCCCCGCGCCACCCCCGCCCGCGCGCACCTGCCGCCGTGAAGCCCCTGGCCAGGGCGAGCGCGAGCTGCCCCGCACCGATGAAACCGACGCTCATGGCAGCGCTGCGGGAGCCGAGCCCCGCCGCCGCACACGTGGCCGCAGACCGGGAGGCTGATGGGCGGGGCCTGGACGAGAAGCGAATCGGCGGGCGGCGGGGCGGGGCTGCGCCACCCCTCCGCCACTCACGAGCGAGGGGCGGGACCTCCGAAGTCGCCCTCGCCAGCAATTGGTGCAACCGGCGCGGGGTGTTGCATCATTCAACGCCTACGGGGGCCGCGCGGGGCCGCGAGCCGAGCAGCGCCGTCAGGGGGCGCTGTCGTCCCGCAGCAGCCGCCGCCGACCGGGGGCGCCCGCGCTTCTGGAAGCTTCGGGCGCCGCCGCCGGCCCTCGGGCCGCCGCCGTGAGGGCCGTGCCGGGAGGGTCCCAGCAGGGCGGTGCCGCGGGCTGCGAGCGGCGGGGGCCGCCTCCCTCCGCCTCCGGCGTGGCGCCAGCGCGGGCCTCGGGCGGGGCGGGCTCGGCCCCTCCCTAGCCACCGCCCCGGACATTCCTGGGATGCTCCGGCCCCGCGCGGCCTGTGCCGGTCCTCACTGCGTGAGGCAGGTGCACGGGCGGCTCTCGGTGTCCCGCCTGCGCGGCCGTCCCTTGGGGGTGCCCCTCGACTCCCCGGTAAAGGGGCCCTGGAGCGCTGCTGCAGTTCCTGCTCGGCAACATCGGTCCCGCTGCCCGCGGATGTTCCGAGGGAGGCGGCTTCCCGGTGACCGCACTCACGCACCGCGGCGGTGCTGCGCCCGCTGTCAGTGCCCGGCTAAGGGGTCTCGGGCACAGCCCTGCCAGAGCCGGGCACCCGCAGCGCTGTTTGCCCCGGCTGTGGCCTGACGGTGCTGCTTCGGTTGGGGCTCTGCTCTACTTTAGCTTTGTTGCTCCTTTATTGACAGAACAAAATCTCAGCGCAGCTCCCGTGGATGAGCGTCCCTGGGCGCAGTGTTCTGGGGACACCGAATCCTAGTCCCCATGAAAACAAGGGGAAAAAACCCCAAACCTCCAACCCACAACCCAGGAAACAGTCAGGTTTAAGTTACACAATCTCTATTTCAGGTTGGGATGCTCTAGGACTCATCTAGATCGGGTGCATAATCCCAAATGAGTGCACGTACACCTGATGTTAGTTTACAAACCAGGCGAGGGGATGGGTGTCTGTGGAGCCCCTTGTGTGGCCGCTTACCTGCTCAGGAGTCGTTAAAGGGGAAGAGAAGCTCTGGAAATAAAGGGTTTTTAAATGAACTGAATCGTGACAAGGTTGCTTGTGAAAATCACATTAAGCAGATAGCGGCTGTCTCTGTCCTGGGTTGGGTAATCTCATAGTTTCCAATGGTTAGTGAGTGTTTTAACCACTGGAGCATGAGGTTTTGATTTTTTTTGTAGGTTTTTTTCTCCTAAGAGAGTGGATTGCTGTCCACACAATTATTTTTTTTTTTGCCACTTTGACCATGCTAACATTTTTTGCTCAGCCTTTGGCTGGCAGATGAGAAAGCTAAATCTGAACACACTGTTCTTGGCAATGACTTGTCTTTCCACTCCTCCAGTCAGTGGTATCATGATTTCCAAGCTAAATTCTATTTCCTCCGTATTGTGAAGACACTGAATTTTACCCCCATCATTCCCCACTTCCCTGTTTCTCTTGGACCTGTAAGTCCTCGGCACTGTGGAATTTGCATCAACCTGTGTCAGTAGTAGACTCTGCCATATTCCTGCTGCTCGTTCCTACTTGGCGCAGAATCTTCACAGCAAAAAGCAAGGGAATCCACAGCTGGAAAAGATGTTGCCGGCTGAGGAGCTCCACTCAGGCTCTGCTGCCCAAGGACTGGCAGTGCCGCAGGAGCCGCGATCACCTGCCTGCTTCCAAGCACTCTGTAGTAATAACAAATAAGTAGTTTAAACCGACTACATCATAACTGCTCCAGGGTCCTGGTGGGGCAGCGGCTCTTTGTGCACTGCCTCCTCCTGTACAGATGGATTCATTTTCCCAAGCTATCATTTCCTAATTGTACAACCCCCCATTTGCTGTTGCGTATCCGTAATACACAGTCTTGGGTCTTGCCCTAGAACAAGCTGGCTAGCCTCTTGTTGGACTATGATGTTCCAGACTTCCTGCCCTTAATGGGGATCACAGAAGAGAAAAACTCCCTTGGAAGGGTGTTCAGTGCGTTCCCTTCATTCTGGATACTGATTCTTGACCCTTTTCAGGGGATCATAATTCCCACTGCTCCAGGCTGGTTCTTACTGGGGGCAGAATTACCAGGACAACCTGTCCAAGCAAATGTTTCCTTTGCTTGTCAAGCCCCATGCAGAGCACTGGTGCGAGGGAAGCTGCCTTCCTTCCTCCTGAGTGACTGCTACAGACAGCAGAGGCAGAGCCCTTGCCTGTCTTGTGTGGGTACTCCTGGGGCTGCGTTCAGGCTCCATACAGCAAAACAAACTGAGCTGTGGTTTCTGCAGGGAGCAGAAGGGGCACCACTAGTGGAAGAAAAGCTGTGTGAGAGCAGGACGACGCACACGGATCTCAGGAGGTGTGGTACCCATCTGCCATCCACCTTTATTTTAGCTTGGTTAAGAACTAAGCCTTGCTCTGACATGCAGCTACATGAGACTTGAACCAGGCCTGCACAGGAACTGGGACCACTCTGGTTCTCTCCCGGTCAGAAATGAAGCTCAAGGCCTGTGCTGTGCAGCGTGGGGCTTAGAGCCATGTCCTGTCAGGGGTGGGTTGGAGAAACGTGTCTCATTGGTAACACGAGGAGCTGAGGAGCCCCAGCACTCCATCAGCCCAGGAGCAACCCCGCTTGCTCCTGCTGTATCCAGGTTCTCTCCCTTCCCAGCCAGCCCCCCCCCGGTTTGCTCTTCCTGCAGCACTGTGAGATCCATTCATCTCTCCCCACCCACCTCCAGATTTCGACTTTAAGCTTCCACAGAAGAAATCGTGATTGTGCCATGGGGACAGAGGGACAGTGGCGGCTGAGCAGAGGGAGCGTGCACCAAGGTACCCCCGGTGCCACCCTTGGGCGGGGATGCGATGTACCCATGGACACTGCAGCCTGGCTCTGCTCTGTGCCAGTTCTTGGCAGTAGAGCCCAAATTTCACAAGCATTCATCTCTCTAATGACTCAGTGTTTGCTAAATAGGAATATCCCGTGTTCCCAATCCCCCCAAGGTGCATGCTTGAAGATATTCTTTTTCTGTGCTGACCAGCAGAGGAGAGCGGAGGAAAGGAAAGGACTGGCAATCTTCAAAACACTATTACAGCTACGATGTTCTCAGAAACATCCTGACTGGAATTTCCCAAACTTGCAATCATTTCATGTCTCACCACACAGCCCAGACTAACCCAAACTCTGAGGGATTGTTTTTCATCTCCAGAACTGGTGTTCCCTGATGCAACTTTTAACTTTCCCACTTCCTGGACAGTCACTTGATTACGGTTAAGTGCTGGTAACAGTTTCAAAATCCTTGGTGCCTTTCCTAATATTTGGCTCTGGGATGCAGCAGGCTGCAGACCCACTGCTGCTGCAGGAAGCAGCTCTGCTGCCTGGAGACAAAAGGCCGTTCCACATACTTTGGGCTGCGCCATTCCTTGCTGTGGCACCAGGCGCTGGGCAGACGCTGGGTGATGGGGAGATGGGCTTTTCCCAGCCCACCCGTGACAGGTCATTCATTTGCTGGCCAGGTCAGTCCTGACCCTGAAGTTCAGTCGGTGGCTCCTGTGCCTGGGCCTGACCAGCGCTTCCTCCCGCACCCCACCTCCTGCTCACCCCCGGCTGCCGCTGCTCCCGGCACCAGCGCCGCGCTTCAGAGGTGCGGGACAAAGCGGATGCGCTGGGAGTACGCCAGGTCCACGACGTAGAGCAGCAGGTTCACGTAGGTGAAGATGGCGATGACCAGCTGGCTGTCCCACGGGCACCGGCCCTTGGCGCAGGAGCCGGGGCGCTGCGCGGAGCCGTACTTGCTGTCGAAGCAGAACACGGGCCAGATGACGGCTGCGCTCACGTACAGCAGCACGGCCCCCAGGGTGTAGATGACCACAGAGCGCTCGAAGGGGAACCACAGCAAGGTGGTCTTACCTGTAACGCTGAAGGCCACGACCACCACTGTCACCACAAAGCAGAAGCTGTAGACAGCCACACACCACTGCGTCGCCACGTACTTGCCATACTGGCTGTCGTTCACCAGTGCCCCAAAGATGATGCAGGCCACAAAGGCCTGCACAATTTTCAGCAGCCCAGAGACCGTGGCCATGTAGCTGGTGACTTGCCCCGGTTTCGCCCGGGTTAAGAACACCTCGGCAGCGTACACAAGGAACAGGAGGCCTGCAAAGACGCTGGCGGCGATGCGGAAGTCTCTCACCTCACAGCTGATGGGGTAACAGTCAAGCTGGACGAAGTAGAGCGGGTAGATCACCGCAGCCGTGGCGGACATGAGCGTGGCGAGCATGGCGAAAGCGGCAGTGAAGTTTCCCCAGGAGATGCTGAGGCAGCTGTGGAGGTGCGTGAACTCACAGGTGATGATGAAGACAGTGACGGCAAAACAGAAGGTCCAGACAAACATGCAGAAAGTGCCATACGCGGCGCTGAAGCCGCCCTGGTGGGCTACCAGGCTGAATGTGGTGCATCCAAACATCATCTGCAGTAAGCGAGCTATTCCCACAGGGGATGTCACTGCAGCAGTGTTCAGATACGGCCCTCCTGTGCTCTCCATCGTGTTTCCAGCCCAGCAGACGGTGCTCTCAAAGCCCTCCCTAAACCTCTCTTTAGGCTTCCGCTCTTTTGTCCTGAGTCACACCAGGTACTGGATCAGTGCAGCGGCAGCTCCAGTCCCCGCCTTGTCTCCACCGGCGCTGTGGGTGCTGTGCTGACGCTGGGCAGTGTTTCTGCTGCGTTTCTGGCAGCCTCAGCACAGACTTGCTGGCTGAAGGGAGGTTTCTGGCCGACTCTGCCGCCAGCTGGGATCTCGGGGTGCCGCGAGCAGCTCTGAAACCTCCCTTGTTCTGTTCTTTCACTGTCTCCTTCCCCTCACGATGGCCGAGAGAATCACTTTCTCCTTGGGGGCTGACATTGATTCCATTTTAGCTCTGCAGCTGTAGCTCTGCTGTGCTGCTTGCAGGGACCCGTGAGTATAAATAGGGGCTATATTAATAGTTCTAGAATGAGTCCTGCCCCCCTCGGCCGCTGCGAGCGGGTGTTAGTTAACACTGGAGCTGCGAGTGCCATCAGGGGCTGGTAATTATCCTGCTGCGATTCCTCCGGCAAGCTGGGGTCACCGGAACGCCGATGTTCCGCAGCTGCTCCGCACCGTGGGGGTCCCTGCGGAAGGGGAATGTGATCCTGCAGACGCAGGAGCTCAGCGCTGCAGCCCCTGAGCAGGGGCTCGAGCCCGGCGGCACCACAAGCCCTGGGAAAGGATTTCAGCCAGAAGCTACAATAAAAGCTGACTCACTTTGGTCCATTTGATCTGGAGCAGTGATAGATTTACCTGCTGTGAATGGCGCTGCTGTGCTCTGAGCATGAGCAAGGGCATGGTGCTGAGGAGGGTCTGAGCACCAATCCTCATGGGCTCCTCAAGCACTTCCCTGTCTGTTTTACTTACATGGGAACCAGTTCTTCTTGTACCTCTGAGTGCCAGAGCTAAAGACAATTCTAAACAACCAACAAAACAACCAAACAAAAAACCCAAGCCAAAGCAATAGCCTTGCTTTGATGTCATGAGCTCAGGTTTGGAGCGCAGGTTTCAATGCACAGTGTCAAACTCTCCCTCCTCATGCATCAAAGTGTTCCCAGGCAGCTGATTTTGGTACGCATTTCCCCAGGCTTGGTCTTTTACCCAAAAGCCTCCTAATTCTAACTGAAAGCGCCAACGAAAATTCCTGATGCAGTCTCTGAATGGGGAAAATGAAAACCACAACACAGTACAAAAATCCTCACTTGCCTGGTGGCAGCATCGCTGACTCCACACCTGCAGCCTGGCTCCCCCTCTGCTGGTCCCTGGGTGGAAGCGGGATCATCCCCAGAGCTCTGCACTGGTGGGGAGATCAGGATAGCCAGGTCAGGCCCAGAGCCTTAAACCCGTTCTGAATGATTCGAGATGCTCATCAGCTGTGCTGCTTCCAGCTCTAACCTCCTAGCTGGGAATTTTAATTGACCCTTGTGCTTGGTAACGGTAATAATGGCTTAATGTCTTCCATACTTGTATGTTAATGTGATGATGTGACATCGCCACACGCACTGCTAGATACTGTAAGGAAGAGCTGACAAAAGAGGGTCTGCTCTGATCCGTGCCCTTCGCTGCAGCTCTGGGGCAGCCGGGGTTTGCCTGCGGGAAGGGCACTGCTCCCTCTTCCCCCAGGACCCTTCAGGGAGCTGTGCTGGGACTCAGAGCTGGAAGCTCTCAGCTCCCCGGGGAGGGTGCCTGCTCTCAGCACCACCCCACGGGACCGTGGCTGCCCCAGCGCCGGTCTCTGCTCGGGCACACCGGGCTCGGGAGGTGATGCAGCGCATCCAGTGTCCAGCTGCTTGTTCCCCCCCTCCTCCCTGGCTCTTGCTCGGCTTTGCCTGCACAGGACTCTGGCCTCGGGTTTACAAACAGAGCAGGAAACCTGAGCCTGGCAGGAATTGCTTTGAACCGGCAGTCGTCACGGGCCTGACTCCTGCTGCAGGTGCACACGGTTGGTCCCACACAGCAGCGGCGTTGACAGAGAGAGCAGCCAGGACAGGGGGGTTGGACAGGAGCTATTTAAGCTGGAATCGCTGCTTTGCAGCATGGCCTGTGATCCAGCTGTGGCTTAAGAGACAATCGGAGACAGACACAGGTTCCAGGATTGCTCGTGGTGAAAAGCAGTGGCTGCGGCACTCCAGCAGCTCACACGCTGGAGAGGCCAGGGATAACTTCACAGAATGACCTGTGTGAGCACAGCACAGATTTTGTGAACGCGAAGGTAAAACGTGCTCCCTCAGCCTGGTCACCACCCTGTAACCTCAGCGTCTCTTTAATGAAAACCCCTCCCATCTTCCTTAAAAGACCTCTGGTGCTAAACGTAGAAAACCTGCATTCACCTGGGGAGGAAGCTGCACAATTAACATCACAACAACCAGGAAATGCAGCGAGGGAGCCCAGGAGCTCTGGGTGAATGGGCTCTCACCCTCAGGTCTTGTCCTTCCTGACTCTCTGTGATGTTAATCCTTCATTCTAGCAGCAGTTGTTACCATCTGTGCTGTGGAATGTCTGTACCACAGAGGAGCTGCGCTTGCAAGGAAAAATTATCCTCCAAAACGTGTTTGCCTTTTAGAAATGAACCCTTGAGTTAATGTGTTGGACATACAGGTGACGGGCTCTGCAGCAAGTATTCCCAGCTGCAGCACCAGTGTTGATACTTTACTGTTCCCTAGCAGGAGTACATCACTGGACACAGCCCACGGCAGGCTCTGTATCTGGGGGGCATCATCTTGTGTAGTCGTCCCGCAAACAACCGGTGCTCACAGCGGCTTCTCTTGGTGCTACCAACCGACAAACCGGTGCCAGCTGAAATCCTGAGCACTTGGCTCTGTGTGGCTCCAGCGCTCAGAGGAATCCCACTTCCCACGTGTCTGTCCTGGCAGCTTCCTGGGTTGCAGTTCAGCTGGGAGCACCATTTATTTTCTCTTTAGCTGCTTTTACCTGATGTGTCGTAACCCCCCTTGCCCAGGAGGACGGCCAATCGCCCACGCGGCGCTGCCCAAGGCTTTGCTGGAGTCCAAGAGAGGTACCTGAATGGCTGCGGTTTTGTTCCTTTTGGGGTTCACTTGCCTGAGCCAAGGGACCTCACAAACAGCACCGCCCCTGTGTCTAGGTTCAGGACACCCTTTCAGCCCTGCAACCTGGCAGGACCCATCTCAGCAGTGCGTGATGTGCCTTGTAAAGCTGGGCCTCAGCTCCCTGCGGCCACACACGGGTGCAGCCGACACCACATTGGTGCCAGGAGCTTCTGCAGAAGGGATGTAACGGATGCTGCTTGTGCAGGTTCATCTGTACCAGCTGCAGCATGCTGCAGGACGGAGCTTTCCTGCTTTCTTGCTTCTGCCGGTGTGCTTTTCCCCTAAGGAATGGTCTCTCCACTTTCCAGCTCCAACACACATTCCTGAGCCCTCCCTTGTTCTCCTCCCATTACCATCAAAGGGGATTCTCTGTGCTCTGAGGTGGGTGTGTTCACAAATGACTAAAATAATAGAAATATGTTGGTGCTTGCCTTGCGTTCTCTGCCTTTTATGTTCCAAATGCTCCCCATTTTAAGACAGGCCAGACGGGCTCATCAGACATGGCTCTCAGTAGAACAGAGGCCTTTGCTGCAAAACCAAATGTCCCTGCATCTTCAAAAGCAATGCCCTGGAATACCTGCCAAATCAGAGCCAAGCTGAAAGTGCTGTGCAAGTATGCAAACATCAGATGCTGGGTGAAAATCTCTGTACTTAGACCCCATATTACAACCTCTTCATAGGAGAAACAATGACAGCATACTGCAAGGGGAACACAGAAGTCTAATTAATACAGAAGACCAACACCACCCTCAGCCCTCTCCCACGTACAAGTGATCATAAGAATAACCCATCCAAACGAGCAGCATATACAACTTTACAAAGACGTATGTACGGTTCTCTGGTCAGCCCTTATAAATAGCGTTTTACATATTAAAATAAATATGTCCACATTGCCCAAGTAGCAAGAGGTTTCTTCGTTATTTAAAAAAAATATGTTACAAAACAATATCATTTATATTTCTTGCTTAGTTTAAAAAAAGTAATAAAAAAGTCATTTTATAAAATAATATGAAAGTAAATTGAGTACAAGAGTGTCCATCCCTAGCACGTGTCCTGGGCTTGTATGTGATGATGCATGGCGAGATGCTGACCTCCAGGCAGTCAGGTTATCGTTCCTTCACTCCTAGTTGGACACAAGAAATCCAGTGCTTGCTTTGTTCACCACTTGTATCCAGTCTATGATGTAAAACTCATGGCAAGGGAAGAAGTCCTAGACCTGGGGAAGATTCTCATTGCTGCTATTTATGGCTTTGCTACTCCCTGTATCAGATTGCCTTGTGTAACACAGGAAAAGGATGTGAATGGCTGAAACTGAGCCCTGGAGTTTGGAGGTAACACGTTCTGGTCAAATGGTGTAAGCAAGAAATTGCCTGTTGTTTTTTGCTGGACACATCCTACGTGTGCACGAGTGTGGGAGCACTGGTGTGTACAAGTCTGAGCATGCATGGGTGTGAGCGTGCGGCTGCCTGCATGAGCATAAGGAAAATTAGGAAGTGTGGGAGAAGGGCTCAGAGTCTCCTCCTGATCTAATCTCTACCCCTCTGCAGAGCCCTTCCTAGTTACCACTGCTGAGCATCCCCAGGAGTTTACTGGGCTCCAGGCCCTGCTGCTGTGCCATCTTCTGAACATCAAAACCCATGTGCATGAGGAACTGGATCACGTTCATCTCCTGCCCTGTGAACTGGTCCCTGATGGTGGGACATGAGGGGTTGCAGTGAGGCCATGGACAGCTGTCGATCAGATGAACTGGGCAGCCTTTCAGAGGGGCCTTCCCGTTTTTGTTGCTCTCGTGTAGGCTCCGATCCCAGCAGTGCAGGGCACGGGGGAGCGACGTCCCCTTCACCTGGATGTCCGTCCAGTGACTGAAACGACAAAGGGCAGAGCCCACATCAGGCTGTGGGAACCAGCACATCCCCCCCGCTGCCCACTCATGGGATCTGCAAAAGCACTCACTTGCGTGTAATGATCTCATGAGACAAACAGGCAGGAGCAAAGCTGGCACTGAGGGAAGAAAGGAAACATGGATTAGGTCTTGGAAGGACAAACTCACTCCTACTAAACAGAACCTTCCGGACTCAGGAGAATGTGGATTTTTTGCTGCCCCTGGCAAGAGTTTTAGGAGCAGCCATGACTGTCTGATATAAACCCTGTCTGGACTGGAAAGTGTTCAGAAGAAAAGGGGCTGCTTCCTGCCTAACAGTGTCCATGTGCAACAGGACTCCTGAGTACCTGCTCTCATGTGAAGCAAGTAAGGCACATTAACAGCTCCTCCTCTGTTGTCTCATCAACTCTTTGGAATGTTTTATGATTTTCAAAACATCCCTGCGAGGTAAATGGCTGCGTGGTGGCAAGGACT